TTGCATAGTCAATGAAGCAGAAGTAAATGTCTTTCTGGAACTCTCTAGCTTTCTCCATAATCCAGCGCATGTTTGCAATTTGGTCTCTGGTTCCTCTGCCTCTTCTAAATCCAGCTTGCACTTCTGGGAGTTCTCGGTCCACATACTGCTTAAGCCTGCCTTGTAGAATTTTAAGCATAACCTTGCTAGCGTGTGAAATGAGTGCAATTGTGCGGTAGTTGGAGCATTCTTTGGCACTTCCCTTCTTTGGGATTGGGATGTAGACTGATCTTCTCCAATCCTCTGGCCACTGCTGAGTTTTCCAAATTTGCTGGCATATTGAGTGTAGCACCTTAACAGCATCATCTTTTAAAATTTTAAATAATTCAGCTGGAATATCATCACTTCCACTGGCCTTGTTATTAGCGATGCTTTCTAAGGCCCATTTGACTTCACTTTCCAGGATGTCTGGCTCAAGGTCAGCAACCACACCACCTGGGGTGTACGAGACATCAATTTCTTTCTGGTATAGTTCCTCTGTGTATTCTTGCCACCTCTTCTTGATGTCTTCTGCTTCTGTTAGGTCATTTCCACTTTTGTCTTTTATTATGGAAATCTTTGTACAAAATGTTCCTTTCATATCTCCAATTTTCTTGAACAGATCTCTGGTTTTTCCCATTCTATTGTTTTCCTCTATTTCTTTGCATTGCTCGTTTAAGAAGGCCTTCTTGTCTCTCCTTGCTATTTTTTGGAAATCTGCATTCAATTTCCTGTATCTTTCACTATCTCCCTCGCATTTTGCTTGCCTTCTCTCCCCCGCTATTTGTAAGGCCTCGTTGGACAGCCACTTTGCTTTCTTGCATTTCCTTTTCATTGGGATGGTTTTAGTTGCTGCCTCTTATATAATGTTACGAGCCTCCATCCATAGTTCTTCAGGCACTCTGTCCACCAAATCTAAATCCTTAAACCTGTTCCTCACTTCCACTGTGTATTCATAAGGGATTTGACTTAGATTGTATCTTACCGGCCCAGTGGTTTTTCCTACTTTCTTCAGTTTAAGCTTGAATTTTGCTATAAGAAGCTGATGATCTGAGCCACAGTCAGCTCCAGGTCTTGTTTTTGCTGACTATATAGAGCTTCTCCATCTTTGGCTGCAGAGAATATAATCAATCTGATTTCGATGCTGCCCATCTGGTGATGTCCATGTGTAGAGTCGTCTCTTGTGTTGTTGGAAAAGAGTGTTTGTGATGATCAGCTTGTTCTCTTGACAGAACTCTATTAGCCTTTGCCCTGCTTCGTTTTGAACTCCAAGGCCAAACTTGCCAGTTGTTCCTTTTATCTCTTGACTCCCTACTTTAGCATTCCAATCCCCTATTATGAGCAGAACATCCTTCTTTGGTGTCACTTCTATAAGGTCTTGTAAGTCTTCATAGAATTGGTCAATTTCAGTTTCTTCAGCACCAGTAGTTGGTGCATAAACTTGGATTACTGTGATGTTAAAAGGTCTGCCTTGGATTTGTATCGAGATCATTCTATCATTTTTGAGATTGCATCCCAGTACAGCTTTCACCACTCTTTTGTTGACTATGAGGGCCACTCCATTTCTTTTACGGGTTTCTTGTCCACAGTAGTAGATATGATAGTCATCCGAACTGAATTCGCCCATTCCCGTCCATTTTAGTTCACTGATGCCCAAGATGTCAATATTTATTCTTGCCATCTCATTTTTGACCACATTCAACTTACCCAGGTTCATGGTTCTTACATTCCAGGTTCCTATGCAATATTTTTCTTTACAGCATTGGACTTTCCTTTCGCTTCCATGCATATCCGCAACTGAGCGTCCTTTCGGCTTTGGCCCAGCCGCTTCATCAGCTCTGGATCTACTTGTACTTGTCCTCCGCTCTTCCCCAGTAGCATGTTGGACACCTTCCGACCTGAGGGGCTCATCTTCCAGCGTCATAACTTTTATATGCCTGTTGTCTTTGTCCATGGAGTTTTCTTGGCAGGGATACTGGAGTGGCTTGCCAGGTCCTGCTTCAGGTGGATCACGTTTGGTCAAAACTCTCCACTATGACCTGTCCATCTTGGGTGGCCCTGCACAGCATAGCTCATAGCTTCTCTGAGTTATTCAAGCCCCTTCGCCACGGCAAGGCAGTGATCCATGAAGGAGCACCAGAATATACTGCTTGCCTTATTCCAACACTGATTTTGATATGGCTCTAGCAAATCCTATGAGATCTACCAAAGTCTCTAGACACCCGTATACATAAAGGGATATAAGTTTGCATACACGTCCTAAAGCACGATCTACAATTTAGCCTCGTCTTTCTCTTCCTAGTAGCAATGCACTATTGTCCTGTAACAAGTCAAGCCCTTTGGGACACCTGGAACTCAATAAAATGTACTGCTTTCCATGTTTGGATCTTGCTTCTGCTTCTGTTTTAGGAAAGGAAGCAAGGAGGACGAGCACACAAAATTAGATTTGCTCCTTATTCCTGTCTCTGACTAATGCCTGATTCATTACGCGCACTGGAAAACAGAAGGGTGTTGTTGCCTGTGCATTGCTGAGCCATAGGAAGCATATGAAATAGGAATAGATGAAAGAGTTCCCTAGCAGGTGCAGATTGTATTTATCTAACCACTGAGTGGCTGCAAACAGTTTCCCCTGCATATCAGGGATTAGGGGCAATGGCTTCCAGATCACGGGATGGCTTCGGTAAACAGAGCCCTGAGCCCTAGCAGATCTTTTTTTGGAAATTAAACACTGGAAACAGTTAAATGGGGGGGGGAGGCAAAAGGTGTGGCAGGGAGGTTGCAGGCAGAAGATGGGGGGAATTAGCCTAAGAGTCCTGATTTTGCATTTCTCTCCTTCATTCTTAACAATAAGAGGGATTTAACTGCCTGATACATATGTGGTGTTAATGTGCATATATTCCACATGCACTGCAGCTTTGAAGAAGCAGCTGTACTCAAAGTCATTGCCTGGGGTATTCTTGTAATGAGTTAAACAAATATCTAATAAAGAGATACAGCTGTTTCTGGAATAATAGCTTTGTGTACCAAGCTACAGAGAGTGACTTGCCCTCCCTCATAAATAAACAGGGCTTCTAAATAAATCCAGATGATTTATGCAGCTGTCGTATTCACAAGCCCCTCAGAACTCCTCTAAAGAATAGATGAAATCAACCAAGCAAGGAACTAAGTGAACTTTTTTTTAAAAAAGAGACCTTCATCAATATATATATAGCACAAACCCAAACTTTGGCTCAGATATGTTGACGACACCTTTGTAATTTGGCCACACGGGAAGGAAAAACTAGATAGCTTCCTCACACACCTCAACAGCCTACACCCCAAAATACAATTCACTATGGAAATAGAAGCCAACAACCAACTGCCCTTCCTTGACGTCCTAGTCTACAAAAAACCTGATGGCTCCCTAGGACACACTATCTACCGGAAAAAAACACACACCAACCGCTACTTACATGCACAATCACACCACCACCCTGCACAAATAAACTCCGTAGCCAAGACTCTCATCTCCAGAACCAAACGCCTGGCTGACAAAGACCACTTGACAACTGAGTTACAGAATCTCTCAAATGTGTTAATCGCCAATGGATACCAGCAAAACAGGGTTACGAAGCTAATCCAAAAAGAAACACCCCCCAAAAACCAAGACACAGAAGAAAACAATGGCATGGCCCTCCTTCCTTATATCAAGGGCACTACAGATAAAATTAGCAAAATCCTCCATAAACACAATATCAAAACAGCCTTTTGCACCAACCAAAAAATAGCCAATATCCTCAGAAACCCCAAGGATAAAATCCAGTTGGAAAACCAAGGGGTCTATGAAATACCCTGCAAAGTCTGCCCAGCCACGTACATTGGACAAACAAACAGACGAATAAATGCACGTATCGCAGAACACAAGAATGCCGTCAAAAAAGAAGAAAAAACTTCCTCTCTTTTCCAACACATGAAAGAAACAGGACACGAAATTAATTTTGCAGATTCCAAATTGCTCTTTAACATGGAACATCACCACAAGAGAATAATCATGGAAGCCATCGAGATAGAGAAACACCCTCACAACATGAACAAGCGTGACGACACATCCCGCCTGCCAGACATCTGGAAATTAGCCCTCCCCACAAAAACCGACACCAGATCCAGAGGCACACAGAACGCCATCACCAATCAACCACACCAGACCCAAACCCAGACCCTCTCCACAGATAAATTACAGACACCATCCAGTAGCCAAACCATGGTGGCACCTCCGGATGCTGCACCCCCCTGCAATCCCTACACAGATCTGGCTGGCACAGGCCACAAAACCACAGCTCGCCCCTATACACGAAGCCAAGCCAGAGCACAACTAAGTGCAGTACAGCCATCTTCTCAGAAAAACTCTTCACAAAGTTCAAGAGGTCAAGACACGAAGGCTTTAGCAACTAATCCACACCTAATGACCCACCTAAGTGGTACTCAGGATATCACTCAAGAAATCACTCAAGATATCCCTCAAGTAATTAAGGAACAAAAGAAGAAAGGCACACTAGCCTGGGAACTTCCTCTCTGCCCAGAACATTGGAGGCTATACACCACACCCCCTCAACAGTATTTATAGGAACTCAAACACTGAGATCCTGCTCTGTTCCAGTAACAAGAAGCCGAAAGCACCAGCCTGAAGATGACGAGTGAGACCTCGTCGAAACGTCGCCTAGACACCCCAACTTTTACACGGGAAGACACCCGAGGACACCAAAACCTGCATCCTGTACCCGTGAAAATTATATATATATATATATATATATATATATATATATATATATAAAATCTTCACCTCAGCTGCACAGTGTTGTTTCTGTTTACCAGATTTTTACCAGCAGAGCAATATTGTTTAAAAGGCATGCAGATAAATTTCAACACAAAAAGTCCACTAAACCATTTTCATGCAGAAAAAGTATGTTTCTTTGTGGAAGAACTTTACTCTTTTCTTCTCTTTCTTTTTTATTTCAGCCTTAGCATTGATTCAGATGCTATATAAAACTCTGGGGACTGCAGATGTGGGAATATCTCATGCTTCTGAATCCCCACCCCCCAGTAGTGTTTCCGGACAGCAGCTCTCATCATGTCTGACCATTGGCTATGTTGTCTGGGGCTGATGGAAGTTGGAGGTCAACAATATCTAGAGAGACGCTTGAGACCTAGGGGATTCAAAGATTGCTGCTCCCGTATGAACCCACCTGGAATGCAGGGATTGGGCTGAGAGTCGTCGTCCCCCCTTATCCGTGCCTTGAGCGTTATAATTTTATTGGAAATTCAAACACGAAAGTGATTTTTGCATCCATAATCCAATTCATAACCAATTCATATAGGTGATATCCTATATGATATCCAATTCATATAGGTGATATCCAGCATTAATCATGCTCAGAGTAGATCCATCAAAATCAGTAGACATGTAACTTAAGTTCATTGATTTCAGTGGGTCTCCTTTTGAGGATGATTAATGTTGGAATGTAATGTGTGGTGACATTTAGGGCACAATCCTGTGGTCACTAAGAAGGCATCCCGGGAGCCATGGGATTTTGCAGTGTTCCTTCCCCTGTTCCCCCAAGATTGCCCCCAGGTGGGGCTGGGGAGAGATGAAAGCCCTACAGCTGGAATACCTCTTTCTCCTCAGGCTACCTCCTTTACTACCACAAATTCTCCCTCCCCTACTCATACTAGATTGCTCCGCCCATTGATAGTAGCCAAAGGATATTCCAAGTTGTGCTCTTTAAAAGAAAATGAAGGTGACACCTTCTGGTTTCAAGACCTGTTGTTACGATCCATATTCTGAAGGCATTTACAAGTCAAAGAAAGATTTTGCTGGGGCCATGCACAAAGAACAAAACTAAGATAACTTGGCTAACTTCATTGGTACTTGCTACTCCGCAAGTGAGCAGATAGCTAGAGAGATGGAGGATGTTGGCTTTTTGCACATTTTATATTCTCAAGGAGAGTCCATATTCAAAGTTCAATACTTTATAAATTGGGAAATTATTATTAGTCATGATGGTAGCACTAATAATTAATTCACAAATCGCCTTTTACAGATCTGTCTCAAGGTGATTTGCAAACATATAAAAACCGCAAGCATATGTTTAAAAACAATACAAAGAACAACTGCAAATAGGGTTTGAAATGCATAACATAAGACAGAGCCCTTTTCATTTGGCTGGAAAAACTTGTCGAAATGCAACTCCTCTGCCAATTATTGCAATCATTCATTGCTTTTCAATTGCTGCATGGAATGTGGCTGTGCAAGTATCATAAGCACTTATGCACAGTGCCTGTGGCATTGCTTGTGAAAAGCAAACACAGCCTTCTTCCTGTTCCCATGCCACTTTTACTTAATTGTTAAAAATGTTCTTGCTGCTTGTAGGTCCTCCATTGTGCTATTTCGTAATTATGCAGCTCTCTGATACTTGTGTTTTAAGGGTGCTTCCAGACTGGGTGTGTGTTGTATGTTTGGTGTTCCTCAGTTTATTTGCTTCTAAAGAAGGCTAACAGCAGCTTGGTTTTCCCCACAGCTAGGCTATACCCCGTCCTGCAGAGATTCAAATCCCTGCTGATAAGGAAATGCAGTATCACATGAAGGCTGCAATCCCAATCCCACTTTCTTGAGAGTAAGTCTCATTGACATTTTTATGATTTGGCAAAATTCCCCCCTTACGCCCGAAAACCAGCACATGTCAGGAATTTACCTGACGTATGCAAGCCTACATAATTACACTGTAAATGTTCTAGGGTGGAACTTATACAAATGTAATACCAAGGACAAAAAATGTCCCAATAAACTTGGAAGGCAGAAACTGTTTTGACTTCACAAGCTCACAAGAACGAAATAAGAGTATCACTCATTTTAAATCCAAATTTACTTTTGTTGTGCTGTTGCGTTTGTTGGGTTGTGATTTTCCAGCCCATATCTATAGGTATAACTAAAATTACTTGAATCTGTGAGCAGATGAAAGAAATGATTATACAGTCCTTTCCCCAAAATTAATGATGTGCCTGAAACAGATTGCCATGAGATAAGTTATTGCATCTACACTCCACCCAGAACTGGTATTGGAGTGATTAAATGCTTCATTTGCACATTACAACATGTGATTTGTAGATGTGGCAGAGTGATGTGGCTTCAAAGCAAGCAAATTTGACTGCAGGTCCAGTGTATGGTAATAAGTATCACAAAACAGATTTGTTTGCAAAGAATGCACTCATGCCAACTGCTAAGAGAAATACTATCTGCACATGAAATAATATGTACCTGGGTAAGTTAAGCCTTGATTTGAATATACCTGTCAATTTTCCCATGAAAAACATACAGTACCTTTTGTATTCCATCATGCAGTGACGTGGGGAAAACAAATGAGACAAAACAAACAAACCCTGCTGTTCCTGATTGGTAAGACTGGGGATGGAAAGGACCCTGCCTAATATAATCCTATGCATGTCTATTCAGAAGTAAGTTACATTCCTAGTTAGGAATGAATGGACAGAGTTTCTCATTTTCCCCTAACCAGTTCTCCGCCTTTCCTAAGAACGCTTACTAATGAGTGATCCCCATTGAACAGAATGGGACTTACTTCCAAGTAAACATGAAGAGGGTTACACTGTTAGGCTGTGTCTAAGGCTCTACACTCTCTCTAGGAAGCAAGTTCCCTTGAAGACAGTAGATCTTTCTTTTGAATAATGCATAGGATTGTACTACATCAGATCATACTATATTCCTTTTTCTGCTTGCTGCAGGGAAGTTGGGAGAGGGGAAGAAAGAGATTTTGTTGTGAGAGAAGGTATGCACACATGTATTTTGGCGTAGTAATTTTCAGGTGGGTGCGGTGCTTTGAAGATGCTGCCATAGTATATAAGTTGAGTGTGTTTCAGTGCCTATAATTCAGCTAGCGCTAGTGAAAAGGATGGGGATGGAGAGATCCCAGAGGTGATGTTGTTCAACTATAAATGGCTCATAGAGTTGGAGACAATTGCTTGCTCATATAAAAACTGTGAAAAGCCAGAGAGATCACAGCTACCAATGAGTGGGACTTATCGATCACCCTTTCTAGCCTGTCATTGCCTTGAGTTCACATCGTTGAGACTGCACATTAACCAGTGAACTTTTGAACCCAATGTGTTGCCAGAAGCGGAGCACATGCTGTACACCCGGGGGTGAGGCCATGAGGGTGGGGCGAGCATCCCAGGGGGTGAGACGCCCATGGGGGCAGAGCGACCTGTCCATGGGGGATGGAGCGAGCCACCCATGGTGGGCTGCTTCCTGGGCAGGCGCAGGGGAAGGGAGCTGGGCCACTTTGCCAGCAGCCTTCCTCCCTTCCCTCTTCCTTTTGACAGCTCAGGGGAGGCTCCCCCCCCCCAGAAGCAACCACGACTCCCAAGCCTCCCCCAACTTGGGAGTCCCCCATAATGCTTTCTACTCTTCATTACATGACACAATCAAGGGAAGGATTACAACTGAGGGCTGTGGAAATCCTCACCAGCCACGGACTTCTTAACCATTTGAAGCTACTGGGCTAGCCTAATTTCTGCAGAAACTTTTTGCAGACCATTCCCTTTGGTGTTTCTGCTTTTGGGCAATTCTCAGTCAGGGAGGAAAGAAAAGCCCCCTGGTCCTTACAGCACTTGCTCTGGACATCAGCTGTTTGGTGTTTCTTGAAACACTAATACAAGGAGGCAGCAACAGCAGAGAGATAGTTATTTACTCCCTGGGCACATTTTCTCAAGTCCTAGTGTGCTACAGCTGCTTCCAAGGATTGCTGGACTTTTCTGCCCCCGTGACTCAACTATTGATAGATTTGTTGCTCTATTAATAATATCAACCACATTGCACTGCTTTAATGGAACACGTCACAACTTACATTCTGGATCTAGTGAAACCTTAATTGCATCGCCAGTAGAGAGGTTTTTTGCTGGATAATTGACTGCTAAAAGATTATAATAATTCAAATGTGTTTCAGGGCTCTGCCTGCGTTATAAGCTATGACCTTAGCTACATTCTGTCACACAAAAATCATGTGTGCTTAAATATTTTTGCATCCCCCCCCAGCAGCCTTTTACACATGTGCTTATGTGATTACCTCTAGATGTTGTAGGATTACACCTCCCATCATCCCTGACCATTGGCCATGTTGCTTGAGTTTGATGGGAATTGGAGTCCATAAACATCTGGAGGATACCACATTGGCTACTCATGGTGTAAACAGGTTGGCATAACTGGACTGGTTAAGAACATATTATTCCACTTTCAGTAATGTTCCTCACTCCCGTTTGCTGATATTACTTGTCTTATTTTGCAGGGTATTATTTTCTTGGCTCTTAAAATTTCATGGATCGAGGTTAATATTACCCGTGGCTTCTTCAGGACAGTGCACTACACGATTCCTGGCCCATCCTTAAGTCTGCTCTGCAGTGCACAAGAAGACAGATGAACATGTTCAGCCGCCACCTCCTTTTGTACTATTGGACTACCATACACCTTTCCATCTTGCTAGCAGTCTTGACAGCTGCTGAAGATGTCACGAACAGCACTTTAAACCACACTCATATGCTCTTAGGATCTTTGCCTGTGGTCGTCTCCAGAGTTGATCACATTATAGTCAAAGAAGGTTACAGTGCCTTGATCGACTGCAACGTTCAAGGTAATCCGGGGCCCGAGTACAAGTGGTACAACTCCAATGGCCGTTTGCTGAAGGAAGATGGGAATACAGGTATGTAACGGTGGAGCTAACACATGGTCCGTCTAGTGCAAACATGAGATGCTACAGTTATTGTGTTACATATTTATTTTTAAAAGATATTTCCCACTTGCCTTCCTGAGCAAATTCCCTCACAGGGCAGCTTCCATGAAGTAAAGTACTGTATACTAGGGGTGGCTATATATGAGGACCCCCAAAGCATAATTTTTTTGCTCTGTCCCCCACCATTTCTTGTAACAGTGGCACAAATGGGGCATGAGTTGAGAAGTTTAAATCCTTTGACCTAACCCGACACCCTGATAGGAATTCAGCTCTCCTCCTTCCCCAGTCATCAGCTGGATCATTTGATAGATTGTGGCCTTTGTGTACAAATAAGAATGTGGGGTAGTCTCTCCCACTTTGGGCCATGGTCACCTATGGCACGCAACCCCTGGAGGACTGGTCATGGGTGAAGGTGGCCAAAAATGGTTCACAACCCCTACTGTACACCATAAGTACATAATAACAAACCATCATTTAGAAACAGTAAAATGAAATAATCCATGAAAGTGATGGCAACAGCAAAGATGAGGTCAGTGTGACAATGCCAATAAGTAAATAAAGCGCAGCTGAACATAGAATGTCATTTCGGCACCAGTTCAGGTCGATAGGATTAGAGAACCGTTTTTAGGAATATGTATCAGTTTACAGCACCTGCGCTCAGTGGCACTATATCAGGGCAGGACTTTGGGGCAGAAGTCCAGGGCCCTGCCCAGCAGAATGAGCAGCAAGGCAGGCTTGCCACATTTTGAAGTAAGTGGAGTATGACACATCGCCATCTCATTTATTTATTAAATTTAGATCCCACATCTTCCTCTAAAGCAGGCATGGCCAAACTTGGCCCTCCAGCTGTCTTGGGACTACAACTCCCATCATCCCTAGCTAACAGGACCAGTGGTCAGGGGTGATGGGAATTGTAGTCCCAAAACAGCTGGAGGGCCAAGCTTGGCCAAGCCTGCTCTAAAGGATTCCGTGTCAATACTAAAACAATACAATTAAAACTCCTTTTTTAAAAACAAAACAGTTCAAATCTCCTAATCCCCTTGAATAGCAGCTGGTGCAGAGCAGCCATGGGAGAAGAGCCTTGCTTGTGGACTGCCCTGGGGCAGCTGGCTGGGCAAGAAGCAGGTTTTGTTTTCTGCTGTCGCTTCCTGTGCAGCTAACTATGCGCAGCAGAAACGGGTTTACACATTTTCTTCCCAAAGAAAGCAAAGGAAGGAACAAGCTGAACTGTGGAGGACAGAATTTCAGAAGCAGCGTAGGAGGCTTACAGCACATGCTTTTGTGTTCTGAGCGATTCCGCTAGAGTTTGAATGACGCCGCTGGGGCTCAAAAGACCTGCAATTTGCAGCAATGTTATTTAAAGCACTTGCAAAGCACCTCTCACTGTGACAGGCAGGAGGACTGCCTGTGGTGTGCAGGGCAAGGCGTGCAAGGGCACAGGGGGCGGCCTTGCCTTTGCCACTGCAAGCCATCAGCATTCTCTGCCCATCTGCTCCCTGCTCATGCACTCTGCTCTCAGTTTCTTTCCCCATCTAGTTGCTCTAACCCAAACAGTTAGGTTGCAGTTTCTGGCATTGGGTGAGTGTTGCAGCTCAGTGGGGGAGCACTGACTTTGCATGTAGATGGTTCCAGGAACAAATCCTGGTGTCTTCAGGTTCAGCAGGGAAGGACTCCTGTCTGAAATCCTGGAGAGTTTCTGCTGATGTGGCCAATGCTGAGCTAGGTAGGTGGTTGCTTTGTCTCAGTATAAGGCAGCTCCCTATATTCCTGAAAGGTTGGGTAACCAGTGAGGAGAAGCGCCTTTGCTAGAGAGCTCCTGTCAGGCAGATGAGACAGTACTTCGCTAGATGAACCAAAAGTCTGACCTGGTATAAAGCAGCTTCCTAAGGTGGGAGAAGTTGCTTTAACCTCTCTCTTCCCCCAGTTCTGCGTTTTAATGCCTGTAAAGGTAAAGGGTAAAGGGACCCCTGACTATTAGGTCCAGTCCTGGCCGACTCTGGGGTTGCGGCGCTCATCTCGCTTTATTGGCCGAGGGAGCCAGTGTACAGCTTCCGGGTCATGTGGCCAGCATGACTAAGCCACTTCTGGCAAACCAGAGCAGCACATAGAAATGCTGTTTACCTTCCCGCCGGAGCGGTACCTATTTGTCTACTTGCACTGGTGTGCTTTCGAACTGCTAGGTTGGCAGGAGCAGGGACCAAGCAACAGGAGCTCCCCCCATCGCGGGGATTCAAACCACCGACCTTCTGATCAGCAAGTCCTAGGCTCTGTGATTTAACCCACAGCGCCACCCACGTCCCTATTGCCTAAAAATGAATGTATATGAGAAAATCTCTGTTAGGTGCATTTGAGTCTATTTATGTTACTGGGCTTAACCTTGTCTAACTGTGCTAAATTGTGTTCCTTGGTTAGAAGACTGGTTCATGTTTCAACTTGCTTACAAAACCACTTAAATTTCATTTACTCGCACAAGATGCATTGGCTTTTGGACCACAGGATGCCCTTCAGGTCAGATGAATTTAAAAGTTCCAAAGGTTGTTCTTACTTCCTTTATTTTGATCACAGCTTGCTGTGCCAGAATGTGCACACAGCCAGTTTAGCCACTGAGCAAGATAAACCATAGCAATCCTGACAGGATTATGTTTGGGTTATTGTCTTGGCCCGTATAGAAATGTAATAAAATATAACAATTATTATTATTGTGGAGACCAAACCTATGTGGGTGTTCTGCTTGCATGTAAACCCTATATGTGTGTGGGGACGAAATATGTAAGCTCCACCCCACTCCCACCACTCTCCAGCTTTGGAGAGAGGGCGGGGGTCATGTGATGCAGGGACAGGAGCTTCCATTATTCATGGAGGATCACCCCCCCACACACACACCAAGTTTGAGGGCGGCAGGGATAGCCATTTGGGGACAGGCTTAGCACACTGTCTTTGCATTCTCATGGTCCTTTTTGCACGCAGAATGCCCAAATAGGACTGTTGTAGAACATTATTTCCAAGTTATTTGCAGATAGCATTGGTGCATGGTTGTGATAAAAAAAAATATTCTGCTGACACTTACTTTGCTTAAACAAAGGCATTTTACTGATCACTTTTGCGTTCTTTCCAGCAGGGAAATGGATTTTTGACAATGGGCAACTGAACATTACTAGTGTGTCTTTTGAGGATCGAGGAAAATACATGTGCGTCGCTTCTAACATCTATGGCCAAGCAAATAACACAGTGACTCTGAGGGTTGTCTTTACCTCTGGAGATATGGGGGTCTACTACATGATTGTGTGTCTTGTAGCATTTACCATTGTCTTGATCTTAAACATCACTCGGCTGTGCATGATGAGCAGCCACCTAAAGAAGACCGAGAAAGCGATCAATGATTTCTTTCGGACGGAAGGGGCAGAAAAGCTGCAGAAGGCTTTTGAGATTGCGAAGCGCATCCCAATCATCACATCGGCAAAGACCCTTGAACTTGCCAAAGTCACGCAGTTCAAGACCATGGAGTTTGCCCGCTACATTGAAGAGCTGGCTAGGAGTGTCCCACTGCCCCCTCTCATCATGAACTGCAAGACTATCATGGGAGAAATCAGGGAGGTGGTGGGGCTAGAAGAGCAGGGCCAGAACTCTGTCAGGCAGTCAGCTGTAGGAGAAGAGACTGCTGAGACGGAAGAGATGTACATGATTCCCAACTCCCTAAAGCGTAGCAACTCTTTCACCGCTGACTCAGATGCTTCCTCTCTGCACGAACCACCGCTGAAGATTGCGATAAAAGTGTCGGTCCACCCGTTGGCTAAAAAGGACTGGGTGGATGACCAGTCACACGGCAGTATACAATTGGAAATTAAAAAGGAGAAGGAAGAGGAAGAAATTGTCGAAGCGCCAGAAGAACCTCCTGAGCCGGTCTCAGAGCCTCCCAGTGAACCGAACCCTCCTGAGGCAACTCTGGGAAGCAACATGGACACATGCACTGTTTACGAAAGCCATGTATGACACAATCTTCAAATCTATGCATAGCAAGAATATTAGGTGGAGCACTCTTTAAAAACAAAAACAAAAAAGGATAATGTTTTTGCCAATAAGCCTTACCTACATATCATAGCAAAAGCCTGCATGTATGGATTACTGGGCCCTTTCTTCCTGAGGGTCGAACCAGACATTACGGCTGAATACACGCCATACATTTAAAGCACATCTCCCCTGCCCCCTCCAAAAAAGAAAGCTGGGAAGTGAAATTTACCCCTCGTGGCTACAATTCCCCACACCCTAAACAAACTACAGTTCTCTGGATTCTTGGAGGGGGTTATTTTAAATGTATGGTATGTACCCACTTAGCATGACTAGCAATCACACCTGGTTGTGTTTTGGTTTTTAAATTTAAATACCACACATGGGATTCTCCACTTTTCGACTTGGGTTGGGAGTCTGGGAGTTTGTGGAACCCGGGAGATTTAACCTTTTCTCTCCAGCCACAACCCCAATGAACCTCTTCCCTACACTCTGCATGTGCAGCATTTAGCAGCAAAAGTTTCCATTGCTGGAAAAAATCTGGTCCCACCACACGTCTGATGCGGAAAGAGGAAACCTTGATGTAGCTGCTAATTGTGCTATGAAAGTCTGGCTCGGCCCTTAGTTTAGTCAGGAGGTTTCTGAAGGAATAATTGCTATTACACTAATATGAATTGCATTTTAATGTTCAGGAGATTTTTTTTAAAAAAAAATCACAAAATATTTACCTCAGAATTGTTTAGGTCAGCGTTGCTTGTGATGGGTACTTGGAATCCATGTATAGTGCTTGGAAACAGGACTTATAAGTCTGGGTCCCCAAAGACCCTTGACTTCGGAGCAGGGCTCCTGAAGTCAATGGAACTATTGTTTCGTTCTACTATTGAAATGTTTCTCAGTTTATGAAACACAGCAAAGAGGTTCTTTCCCCCCCCCCCCCGCCTGTCTTGCCTCTTTCTTCTCTGTGACTTGCTCCCTTACGTGTCTCTTGTGACTTTGCTCCCATGATTCTGTAATGCTGTTTAAGAGGGAGCATTTCCCTAGCCAAATGAAAATCTGTGTGGGATGCCATTTACTAGCGCTTTGTAGCAAGCAAGAAGAAGGTCAGATGAATTTATTTCATTTGAAAGCAGGCAATTTGTATTTAGAGCATGTGGAGTGGGGGAGGGTGGAGCGGGGGAAATGTCCTCCTTCTTTTGCTCCTTTGGAAGAAAGAGCCCAACAAATGTTGCTCCATGGGGAGGATACACTAAGCCACTTGTTTCCGTTGGAAGAGGGCTATTTGTCTCCAGCTAGAAAGCTTTATACAAACAATGAGTGCAGTCTGGAGCACAGTTGCCCACTTCCCCAGCTATGATGGCCACATGCAAAGGAGAACTTGGCCCCTTGTGTAAGAGAGGACGTTCTACAGGTGATGTTTGTCATGAAGGGACTAGACGCAGCGGTTCTCAACCTGTGGGTCCCCAGATGTTGTTGGGCTACAACTCCCATCATCCCTGAGCTCTGGCCTTGCTAGCTAGGGGTGATGGGAGTTGTAGTCCAACAACATCAGGTTGTGGGAGGCTGCCCTAACCTATGCACAATACTGTTGAATTGTAATGAAATGTGAATGCAGGTCACTGTGTAACATGGGAACAGCACTTGCGAATCTATGATTTGGAGGGGAATTCAATTATTTGCTCAGATGTTTGGAAAGAAGCCATTAGACCTCTGTGAAGTCAATGAATGTAAATCTACACTGGCATTTATGGGCAGCCTGGTATTGGGCAAGTTTGAGCTGCATAAATTATGTGAACGTATTGAAGGATGCAGGATGCAACAATCATAGTGATCTGGTTTATATCTGATTAGTTATAATGTAGGCCCACAGGCGCCAATCACTGTAGCACAGATGGTCATCTTAGCTTAGCTCCAGCAGATTCTACTTCCAAAACGTCACCAAGAAGCATATAGTTTTCCTACAAGATCAACTCTTGCATAGCCAGAGAGTCATTATGTATATACTTTAATAGACAGCCTATGCTAAGGAAAAGATAGCAGTACATTAAATGTTCACATGAAATGTCTTCTGATCTCACTGAGGCTCCTTTTAGGAATCTCAGAAGAGACCTACTGGATCCAACACTACTGGATCAGATGCAAAGGCGACAAGTCTGTGTGGATGAGTGTACTTGCTCCACCTCCCGTTGTTCTGGTCACTCTCCGTGAGATGAGTGGAGACTGCCCTCTTGTACTTGTGAATTCTCCCTACACATTTTAGAACACTGAGGGATTCTTAAATCTGCAAGGAGCCTCCACAATTACAGGGCAGCCGACTCTCAACTTGTGGAGGATGCCAAGAATGGCAATGTGGGTGTGCCAGCACACACACACACCCCTCGTGTATTTATTTAGTATGCCATGCAAATGTCTTAGATGGGGCTTTTGTTAAAAAGGATTTCTTAAGCTGCCACAAGTTGCATGTACAGTCTTAGCACTTAGATGCCTATTTGATTGCTGTCACTACTCAGGAATTTATAGATCTAAGCAGAGCCTTTGCCCCAAGAAAAAGCTCGGATGAGTTAGAAAGAGAAGTAAATTAACTCAAACGTTCTCCTTTCCCTCTCTGCTTTCAGCTTTTCTTCCTTCCATTCATTCACTTAGAACACCTTCCTTGTGTGCAGCTATTCACAAGACCTATACATTAGACTATAGCTACTTAACCTGGAGTCACCATATTTAAATCCATGTGACTTTTCCATAGCACATGGTCCAAGAATTAAGCTTGTCCAAAGATTAAGCCCTGTCTTTCATCTATTTACATGTCTGTTAAGTTCGGATGTGGATATACTGAGTGCTGGGCTGCAGACTTCCCATTTTACTTTGTGGAATTTCCTAGCTTCTATATCCCTTCAAGATGATGTTATTTGGGGAGGGGGGAATTTGGGGGAGGGGTTCCATAAATTAGCATTTTAGCTTTGGAATAGTTGTGCATCAGTAACAGACTACAGGCCTATACACACTTAGCATGAGAGTAAATCCCTTTGTACTCAGTGGAACCTCTGAGTAGGCATGTGTAGGATTGCACTGTTAAATGCAGTATACTGTAACAGCAAAATGAAATTTCAAAAGGAGCGTAGATGCTGCTTATTGCCTATTATTTTTAAGGCAATCCTTTTCTTAACAGTCTTACTGTGTTCAGTATTTGATATGCACAGGCAATGAGTCATGCAAACCTCAGACTAGATAAAGTTCCTGCCCTGGAGAGCTTGCAACTGAAAACCAAGGTTAATACATGAACAGGAGCAAATGGCACATGCAGCTTATATTTATTTTGTGCAGCACTATATAAACTAAATGGCAGCAGGTTAAGACAACAAAGGGTCTCCTAGCATTTTAAAGATTTAACCAATTTAATCTTTTGTGCACAAGAATTTACTTCAGCCAATTTGAACCTGTTTCCCTCCAGAAGGTTTGAACTGCAAACTCCCCTCAGCCCCAGACAGCACCTGGAACAGGAACAGGGTTCATGGGAGTTGTTCTCCAAAACATCTGGAAAGCACAACGTTGTGGGAGGCTGCTCTACATCAAGTGCATGGCGTTATCCTCAGTTGTAAGATGTATGTATTCAGGGGGTGGGAACTAAAAAATGGCATTAAATAGCAATGACGTGCACAAAAGTACCACCTGTAACAGTTAAATTAAAGCTTTAAAATGTATGCAAAATAACCATAGTGATCATCAGGCTGAACCAAGCAGCTTGGTTCTTTGACAGTGTCTTGGCAAAGCAAAAACAGAAAGGAACACTTCTCACCATATGTGCTGTTCTTTCCTGCGTTTCCATGTGTCATTGTCGGCTCTTAGCAGGGCTCTGGAATGTGGTCTTAGGCTAAAACAGGGGTCTGCAACCTTTAAGACAAAAAGAGCCACTTGGACCCGTTTCCGAAGGGGGAAAAAACTGGGAGCCGCAAAACCATTGCGACATTTAAAACAAATATATCTCCGGAGCCGCGATCTGACAGCGGGCGGGAAGGTGACGTCGGGACGGTGCGTGACTAACGCACGCACCGCCCCCATGCGACGTCACAGCCAGTACAGCACCCGCCACAGTGGGGAGTGTCGGGGCGCACAATGCGCCTCCTCCCCTCGCTAGTATCCGCCCCAGAGCCGCGGCAAAGGTGTAAAAGAGCCACATGCAGCTCCGGAGCCGCGGGTTGCAGACCCCTGGGCTAAAAGCTCAAGAAGAACCCTTTCCCTGTCAGGGTGAAGGTAACTCCACAAATAAGAGGCTTGAGGAGCTACATCACTGGATTATGGTTTAAATAGGTTGTGCAGGAAGAACCAATGTGGTATTTCTCCATGTGTTGTTACCTACAACTCCCTCCATCCCTGATCATTGACCATGGGCCTGATGGGAGTTAAAAAGGTAAAGGGACCCCTGACCATTAGGTCCAGTCGTGGCCGACTCTGGGGTTGTGGCGCTCATCTCGCTTTATTGGCCGAGGGAGCCGGTGTACAGCTTCCGGGTCATGTGGCCAGCATGACTAAGCCTCTTCTGGCGAACCAGAGCAGCGCACGGAAACGCCGTTTACCTTCCCGCCAGAGCGGTACCTATTTATCTACTTGCACTTTGACGTGCTTTTGAACTGCTAGGTTGGCAGGAGCAGGGACCGAGCAACGGGAGCTCACCCCGCCGCGGGGATTCGAACCGCCAACCTTCTGGTTGGCAAGCCCTAGGCTCAGTGGTTTAACCCACAGCGCTACCCGCATCCCTCAACAAATTGTAGAGGGCACCAAACTGGCTACTCCAGGGGTTAGTGTCATTTTATCACATCTCAGATACAAGGACATATGATGCAGGCTAAATACTTCCGTGAATGTGCTTAGTCTAAAACAGAAACCCATTCTTGGAAGGGTGAACTAGCTATTGATTCCTTAATGCAGCTTTTTTTGTCTCTTCTTAGAAGATGTGTTCCTGTCCTCTGCTTGTCAGCTTATCTTACAGGGGCTGCACTTTAAGATGCCAGTGTCTGCCTATTTTTTTCTGAATTGTTAACTGTGAGTCTAGTATACCAGGAGAACTTGTGGCTTTGTCATTCTTCTGCTCAACAGATAAATTTAAAAAAATGTACTGTAATGTATCAACAGGTTTTCCTAACCTAAGGCAGCGCGTCGACTACTGCTCAAGCAACTGTAATCAATGTTAAAGTGTTAAGTATTCATACAAGCCTGAACTTAGAGAATTGCCAACAATTACCTGGGCCAGAGGTGAACAACTACCTGTGGCTCTCCAGATATTGTTGGGCATCAACCTCGGACAGCAAGTCCAGCAGTCAGGGATGATGGGGGTGTTTCTTGTTGTCCATCCTGACTGTGGCTATCCAGGCCAAACACTATTTATGGACTGCAAACCTATGTTCACAGAATGTAGAATTTCTGCATTTTCCTCGCTGCAAAGAAACTGCTTGCACTGAAGCTAATGTTGTCTTCATTATTTCAGGACAAATGTAATGAACATGAGTACTCTGCTGCACAAATGCGTAATTGCCGTGTCTTGATTTTTAAGAACAGCACATGCTGAGATTTTTTTAGCTGACTGGCAGTAACTGGGATACAGACACAAGTTAATTACAGGAAGTTCACACAGAGGGGGTTTTTCTGCCCCCTCCCACCCTCAGCAGACCTTGTGTTCCATGAAAACCTCCTTTCTGAAAGTAAGTTCAAGCAAAGAAAGTTACCTGTTTTTTCTTTGCCCAGCAGCTCACCCTACACTCCATTATGAGAAAGGATGGCACCCTCTGAGGCCCTTCTCTGGGTACCCCTCTGAGAGAGCCTTGGAGAGTGGCAACAAAGGAGAAGGCCTTTTTTGTTGTAGCCCCGCTGCCTGTGGAATGATCTCCCCAGTGAGGCCTACCTGGCACCAACACAGCTTTTTGGTGCCAGGTTAAGATTTTCCTCTTCTCCCAGGCATTTGATGGGATATGATCCAACTGGGTTAAGGTTCCTGACAAGGTTCTCCTCACCCCTTGTGAAGATTGGTGTTTTTGTATTGATTTGTTAAATTCTGGTGACCATTTTTAACAATTTTGTATGTTTTTTAAACTTGATTGCACAAGTCACCTAGAGACTAGCTTGTGTTAGATTCCTAACGAGTTAAACAAGTAACAAATAACCAATCTGCACTCCCCCCGCCACAAGCTTTTTTTCAAATGCTCCAACCTTAAGAAGGGGAACACATCTTTTAATTTTTTGTCCTAAATGGCCTGCCACAGTTCTGTGACTGAGTTTTGTCAATTACTCTTCATGGAATTGAAAATGACAGGGGTCATTCACAGTGCTGAGGGAGAGAAAGGCGCCTGGGTTTATGGAGCGTAGGTGGACATATACCGAATTCTCAAGCAGTTTATCAGATACATGAATAACCAGGCAGACAATATTAGAAGCTGTTTGTTCACAAGTTACTCATATTGAGGAGCTGTCCAGTGTCAAAAGCTTTATATGACCATAAATATAGGCCAATAGGTGGTGATGCTGGAGTATAGCAGAAACCATACTAGCAAGATCACTTTGACCAGGGTGGTGGTTGTTGTTTTTTCCAATCAAGGGGTATATAATTTGTATGAAATAAAGTAAATTCCTTCTTCTGTCAAGCCAACACAGTAAAATGGAGAGCTGCTCCTGAGCTCTGATGCCAGGGTTCTCAATTTGAGACCCCTGCTGCTTTAAGCACAAAGCACCAAAATGAAAAGTAAAGAAAATCATATTCACAAAAATCAGGCACTCTGCTGGATGTCTAACAGGAGTGTTTCCAGTATGGGCATTTGAATTTTGAATGGGAACATTTGCCTATAATGCAAGCATTTCTATAATCCAGAATTCAGTTTGAATCTGCTTCCCACAACCAGGGATACAACAAAAATGAATTATGATTATGGACACCAGAATTCCATCACAAGATTCCTTGTGGAGCCCATTTTACATTTCATGTATCTCTTGCTAAACATTTGCACCAGTGTGCTACCATGACATCTCTGGATGTTGCTGGGCAATTCACCATGTTTATTTAGTCAAGCTGCTCTTAGCATTGGACAATGAATCGCATAATACTTCTTTCTCTGCGTAGTCTTGCACTGAAGAAAATACAAAGAACAAAAATGTTTGGGGGTTTTTTACACTCTTACTGCAATGCAGCAGTGAACTATATTCTGTTTTCTTGAAAGGGTTTTTTGTTTGGAGTTGGATTCACCATTTCTTTTTTGCTTCAAAATGTACTTGGAAGTGGGGAAAGCAAGGAAGTAGGAAAGCTTTAAAATCGCAATTAGCAAATTGTGAAAACACAGAAGTCTCCCATCTCCAGTTTAGGTTTCTGTCACATTGACAAAACTAAACACAGGCAGTCTGTTTTCCCCTTAGAAAAGCATTGTAAGCTGTTTATTGTTTGCAATCTATGCGGTCACCATAGAAATCGGCACAAATGCCGAGGAAATCTTCACCCATCTTATTTTGATCACCTCTATTCCACTGGATCTTTGAGAACAATTAATTGCCCAGAGCGGCTGAGAAGCATTTGTTTTCTAGGGTGTGAAAGGAGATGTTTTCACAGCAGCCAAGCTGTAATTTGGCACCAAAATCTTTCTGTAAGTGAATCGTACAGCGTGTAATATATAAACAAGCTGTGTGTGTGTGAGAGAGAGTGCTTAACATTTTTAATGCCCTCTTGAGAAATGATAGAAAGCGGTTCCTGGGAACAGTAAGAAAAGCTGTCAGGAAACAAAGATCATTGATTTCCTTCAAAGATGACTTATGATCAGAGAGATGTGCTTTGAATAGGAAAGCAGCACCATGAAGGCCCTGCATTCCCTAATGTCTCTTGTGAGACTTGAGCCATACTCATTCATTGAAAGCATCTTTGTAAATGAGGGAGTCCTGCTTGTTACACCTACTGATCTCAAATCTACTCCTTACACATCAATGCAATTAAGAATCTGTTTCATCACAAAGAAGAGGCTGGTCTTCTTGTACAAGGACATGAAGAATATGCTGCTGTGAAGGTTTGTGAAAGAGGTTTATATTTTCAAAATGGATGAGAAGGTCTGTGTTGGGCAGGGGGTGGATAATGTGAAGCCCAAGACCAATTCATGTGGTAAGAAGTATTGGAAGACTGTGAGACCATAATCTAGCCAAAGGGAAGCACTTTGGAGTCCTGTTGATTTCAACAGCCATGTGAAAGACAGTTAAGCTCCTACATAACTCTCTACCACTAAAATCAATGTCCCAGAGAAGGCATTTAACTTTTATCGTGCTTTTGTGCAATGGACTCAGGCTCAAAGCCAGCAGCCATAATGATAAATACAGCCTCCAGTCGTCCTTCGGTTGAGAGAGTTATTAATACCCAGCACACATGTATACGGCCCAATGTACACATGATGTTGTGCACATGGTGGTAGCCGCACACAAAGAATCCTGGGAATTGCAGTTGGTTCAGGGTACTAGCCTCAATGACCTACAATTCCCAGTACCCTTAACAACCAGCTACAGTTCACAGGAGTCTCCATCACTGTTAAAGTGGTGTAAGAGTGCTTTAAACATATGTGGTGGCAGTCAACTATGTTTTACACAGAGTGGACCCATTGGAATTAATGGCCCTAACTTAGTCATGTCGCTTAATTTCAATGGGTCTACTCTGAGCATAACTTAGTTGAATACCACCACATCTTCCGGGCTCAGAAACAGCTCTGACGCTGGCTCCAGCCTCCCCACTGGGTAAGCTGGGCATGAGCATTGCTTTCAGTTTCTAGTTTCTTCTGATCCATCCAAATCACTAGTTGAATTGGAAGGTGTAGTATAACATTAAAATAATGGTATTTCTACCCCCTGCAGCCTAGAGGCTCAAGCAAATTTACCTTCCCAGCGGATTTATGGTAAAGGTGGAATTGTTATGCCCTGACA